GACATGGCTGCTCTTAGAAGAGCAAAGCCATGAACAAAGCCCATACAATTTCTCTCCAGACTTTTTTAGTTAAAATCCTCCTTTAACAGTTCTAACAACATTATAGCTTGTTGCTTCTCCTGACAGTCCATAAAAAGGGAAAAATTTGAAAAAGTACTTTCTCTGGTCCAAAACATAAGAAATTGTGCAGTTATAAGTAAAGTATTAACAATTAAAAAATCTGCAAAAGCCTGTCTTCAGTCTTGATACTTTCTGTAAGCACTTGCAGAGAGTCTCAAAACTCTYGCTAAGAGGGGAAATGCAGGGAAGAGAGTAACAAGGAGCAGTGAGTCCTCTGGCCATTCTCATCTGCTCAGTGTAATGAACCTCGTGTTCCTACACACTGCAGCCATACTATCACTACGTGCAGAGCACCAGTGCAGCTGGGTGATAAACATTTTAAACATGACAGCTGACAAAACTGCCTGCTAATTAATTTTAACACATTTAAGTTACATTCCATTAAGTTGCCTCCCACCTCCTATACAAAAAAAAAAACTCCAAAACAAAGTATGCAGTGGGAATGCTGGGTACCAACTGTTTCATTCCAATATGGGCTGGTATTGCAGCATCCTGCCCACCCTGTTTATGTATTTTCTTCAATGCCAAGAAGTGCTCAAGTATTGAATGTTCAAACCATTAATCAATTTTAGCTTTACCCAGTATGACAAAGCCATTATATTTGAGTTGCTGCAGTTCCCTCATTGTCCACATCAGTTATGCAGTTTCTAAGATCACCAGGATCACAAAGCAAACCACTCCAAACAACTTAATGGAGACTGCAATCAGCACAAACCAGGCACCAGACTGTCACCTCAGTTAAACAGATCCTCATGAAACTGCAGAGATGAAAAAGCCCTATCTGCCAATATCATGTTTTCAGTTTGCTAACAGCACTTTGTTTTCCCTCTCCTTTCAATGAGAAAGGAGTCTCCATGGATTTGTTTTATTTATCTGAAAGGTTGAAATCAACAGCTCTGAAAAAATATTCACTACTTAACGCTGACAGTTAAATATACCCCAAATCCCCCAATCAAAATCAAAGCTTCCTTTGGCAGTGTACAAACTGAATATATATCAAAGCTAGTCTCCAAAGTTAGCAATGTGCCAGAAAGAAATTAAAATCCCYTAAGAAGTAATTCTATATATTTTCTGTCTGAATACTAACTTTCCCCCCTTTTGATACCCACAACAGTTTATCCACTGCATTTACTGCATTGCTTAATTGTGCATCCCAGCCTAGCAGCAAGCTGACTTTCTGGAATGCTGCTGCAATCTGTCAGAGTGGCTGTGGCATCACTTCACACCATAAATTCTTCTTTTGGCCATTCCCATCGTTTCCACTTCCATGTRCTATCCTCTGCAGAGATCACTTGTTTTCCTGTTGGGATCTCCTGAGCAGTTGTTACGCAGTGAGAAAGAGCAAAACCCAAAATGTTTAAAAGTGAATTAGCTACCCTGGCTCAAGGTAAAACTGCTGACAGCAGCTGCTTTACCTCAGTGACACCACAGGGCCACCAAGGGCTGCACTCAACTGAGCTGCTTGGGAAGTGCTGCTCAGGGATTCTTCCTTTTCCTGTGAAGTTCTTCTGGGATGAGTTACCTTTCTCTTTACAGCCTCTAGAYATGCTACTTCTCTGGAAATACACCAGGAAGGGGAGGAAGACAGCATGAGAGAGAGAAAATATATATTTAAGATGCAGAAAGAATGCAGCAATRGCCATAAATAAATGTAATGGGAAAACTTGGAAAATATATCTGGCCATCAGACATCAGGTGTGAGACAACCTATTTACAGGAATAGAGGGAAAAATTCCCTTCAGCTTAGAAAATGAGGGACAAYACATCCAAGAGGGGAGGTTTTGATKCAGTTGCTTKTGACACTGCTGTTGYTAGACCAGATATAAGTGAACTCACAAGGTCCATTTTTGCTCTAAGCTGTCATGTTCTCTTCTAAACCTACTCAACTGTGTCTCAGAGATCAGCTTGTTAACTGAGAAAAGTGGGATGATTCCTGTCCTGGATTCTGGAAAAGAGTGATAGATTATTCTATTGGCAGTCATATTCTCAAAATATAGCTAGAAGCTGGATGCACATTTATTCTGTAACTAAATGTTGCAGGATATCCATTGAAACAAGTTTAAGAAGATCTCCTACTTCATGTATTATGTGAAACGGGACATTCTTTGTATACTTTTCAAAAGAGAAAAAAATAACTTACATTAAAAATACATTCTCTTGTCTTTTTGTGTGAATTCTAGGTTTTATGAATCCCTCCGATGGCCTTATACATTCATACTATGCTCTGGCGTTCAAGAAAAAACTATCTCAGTCCCATTTCCCATTAGAAATAAACTCTCCTTTAAATGGCTTCAGCCATATATGCATTTTATTCATGGCAAGCCGAAGCAGTTTTTAAATTAAGTTTGACATGTTAGTTATAGCTTTCAACTTAAGCCTATATATAACCTATAGGTGACACAAAAAAACTAATGGAAAGCATTTCTTTTTTTTAATATGATTTACAAAACAATGTGAAAAATAACCCCTAAGCTCTATCTAAATAGATTCCAGCTTTTCACAGTGAGCTATATAACTCACCATATATTTTCATTTGTGGTTTCTGGATAGCAGAAGATATTGAATTAGGCATCAAACCTTCACATCATTCTTTCAGAATCCAGTGGGTATGTGCTGGACTGAATGGCCAGGAATAATCATGTCRTTCCCTTTGGCATAGTCTTAAAAAGATTCTGAGAGCGCTGGGGGAAATTTCTCTAAGAAAATACAAAGCAGGCTCAGAATGCCCAAATCACGCAGCTTTGGTCATAAAGAAAAACTGCAGCTCGTGCAGACACTGAAAACAGCTTTAATTTAGATAAGTAATGGATCAATAGCAATGAAGCCAGCATCAGGATGGATTTCAAACCAGGGTAGTTACCCCAGTGAAGAACCTGGCATCTCAGTGGGACCCAATCATTCTGTGAGGCTGAAACTTTACTGCTTCTTTCCGAACAAGCCACTTCACAACATACAGCTGCATCCTAACACTGCATGTACACTTCCAGCTTTGGTACAGATGTACCTTAGTGCAGAAAACAAACAGGAATGCCACTATTCAAAAAAATCAAAATCAATACTGGAAGYTGATTCAAAATTATCAAAATATACTGGAAATAGCATTCAGCCAGCCAGCAGCATAAGGGAATCTATTTATAGTCATCACTTGGTCCTCTCAAACACTAGCACTCTGGTCAGACACAATGCTCAGACTGCTTCAGGGCTAGTACTACTCAAAAATACTAAGAAAATAGGTACTTTAAGTACAATCATATGCAGCAGAGCTCAGACCCTGTCAATGATACTGTCATTTTGGTGATGCTGCTGAACAGGCCATTCTGCTGAAACCCAAGCAGGGAGAACTGGTTCCATATTGTGGGGGCTGTCACCACTCCTGGTCCCTACTGGGACCTCARTAAAAACCTGATGTTTTTAAACCAATGAAGTAGAAGGCTAGAAGCAGCTCTCAGGTGCTGCAAAATGTCWTCCATGGTAAGATGAATTGATAATWTATKATCARACACTTTGTGSTCTCTGTTTGGCTGCCAACCCCATGGCTGAGCTACTAAAACAGAGCTGCTCTTATGTTATAGCCTCAARTGCACTCAAACCYAATTTAAGATCCACCTTTTGCTCTGAAGCTGAAACCATGCTAGCAGTGAAAATGAGSCTGACTGCATCCAAATCTGCACTTACAAAATTAAAGGCAAGATTTCCTTAGCAGAGGATACTTGGCTGTCAAATTTACAACCACCAGAGATCACACCCTCCCTCAAATCTTCACACTTGACTTTCCTCTCTAATGAAAAAAAAGATGGTTGCAATAAGCCATGGTTGTATTTTTTAATGCCACCACTTTTTTGTGTATGGGAAGTAAAAGGAGACTTATGACTTCCCCAGGGACAGTACATTTCCAGATATATGAAAGAATAAGCAGATATTGCTTAGCATCTCAAAGCCTTGTCTATAGAGGCACTGTAGATACACACAGTTAATAAGAGATAAAAGTCCTGGCCCTAGACAGCTTCCAGTCAAAACAGATGAAAGGATGAGGGGGAAAAAAGAACAATATTATCCTATTTTTTTAATATATCTATATATATGAAAGCAAAGAACTGAGAAAATAGGTCATTTGCCCAGGACTGGAAGGAAAGCCTGTAAATATGAATTTAAACTTATTACTTCCCAAGTCTCAGTCTGGTGCCATATTTCTCCCAAAACAGCATATTAAGAAAATACCATAAATAACAAAGCAAAGTGCAGATCAGCAGGATCACAAATAAAATACCATATAGAAAAGTGCGTATGAACAGTTCTGATTTAATAAAACTTCCTCTTATGTCCACTTTGGCTGTTTCACTACCAAAGGCTGGCAAATACATGCTCTTGTACCAAAAAGTCATTGTGAAACAACCCCCCTGTTTTAATTTCTAGTTATCTACCATAATACATTGATCCATGTGTGGACCACAGACAAAACGCTTTTCATGGCTGAAAYGTGAGATTGAAACACAAGAGAGGAATTCCCTCCTGGATATAAAGGAAAAGGAGAATATTAATATGCATCTAGAGAAGACTCAGGAAAAAGAGTGGAATGTCTATCTGAGAGCTACYTGTAGCTGCATTTTTTGCTGCTTATTTTATATGTTTTTTCTCTAGATACAATTGACTATATTGCAGTAAAAAAAAAATAGTTCAAAATTCTCACCATTCCCACAGTATCTGTATTTCTCTAGCACTTCTATTTGAAGAAGTCTTTTTTAAAACAGAARCAAACTCTTTAATAAAATACCCTACGGTGGCAAATACATAAATCTCTCACATTGTCCTCAGAGCCTGTCTCTTTAGGATTATTATAGATTAGATTATCATGAAAAGGAAGATTTAAATGTCTTATTTACCTGAACAGCATCATAATACATTTTCTTGCCATCTTCATCTGTCTTGTCTGACATCAGCCATGCCTTGAGCAGATATTCATAAAAGCTATCCCCAAGCCCTCCAATGGAGACATGATCTTAATAGGGAAGAAAGAGATTGAACAACAATTTCATCTTCAGCCAGGACAATAAAACACAATTACAGTTTGAAACAGTGTATTTAATGATCTATTTCTACAACATCTTTAATAAATGTAAGCCTGGAACCTCAGGAAAARACTTTACTGGTGTATGCAGAGAATTATTTCTTTTATTGCTAAATTTTTAATCTCACTAAAGCGTCAAAGCTGTTTCATATCCACAATGTGCCGCAGGAGTTTATGGCAAAGAAAAAAGAATTTATATGTGTTAATTTTAATTCATGTAGTCTATTCCATACCAAACTGTGTTTAAGTTCTATTTTTTTATTCTAAAAAGGAAAACCACAGAAAGTGCTCTTTGATTTGATAAAGGCTTTCCCTTCTTTATGTGCAGGCATTGCTCTTTTAGTCACTAACTCTCCATTTAAGTCACTTCATAAGAAAGGCTTTTAGCTCCTTACTGCAGAGTTGAATTTCAGGTTATTTAGTGGTATTTCAAAATGCTGAGCCATTTGTTTAAAAATAATACGACATTTTTGAACAGCTGACTGCTCACAGAACTGAGCAATGGTTTGGAAGGAAAAAAAAAGGACTTCACCACATCTACAGAGGATTAGCTGCTGTGAGACTGCTTTGTTCTGYCCTGTGCTTACTATGTGAAAAGATCTGGTACTACAGGTGCTGTGATTATTCAATTGCACAATTTAGAATGTGACTCTGCAAACACTAACACCACACAAGCCAGATATTCGACATCAGTTGYACCAGTGATGGGAAAATTAGTGATGCTCTCAGCTGCTTGTACAAGATTGTACCCACTTGCTGTCCAGGAACCTAAAAGATYCTTGGCAAAATTTTGATGGATTATCATGATTTCAGCAAGGATCTCCTAAATAAATTAAATTCTACAGCTATATATACATGTACAGTGTTTTTCTAAGCTCCATTAAGTTAAGAAGAATAGCTAAAGGTTTATTTTTGAAACTCGGTGCTGTCTGGTAAAATTAAGTGACTTGGCATTTACAAATTCTTCAGTGAAAAGTTTTCAAAGTGCTTTACCAGGACTACTCATTTATAATTGTCAATTTTCCAGCAGAGGAGGGATCTGCTAATTCCACTCAAGAAATCCCAGGATGGAGACGTTGTTGCAAGGATCACACAGCAAATCCCTGAGCCATACCACAAAATTCTGGGCACAAGAAAAGCAAAAAAAAAAACCAAACAAAAACCTGCATGGAATGATCCAGACTCATACAGTGAGATGCAGAAGGGTGGAAGGGTGAGTGATACTGAGCTCGCACTTCCTGACACCTAACTCTGATCTTAGCTTCAAAGTTATGCCCCTGTTGGTGGAATTCAAAAGAACACAGAGAATTTATTTTTATACTCCTTTGTATCTTCTCTCCATGGAAAGCCTCTCTTTTCACCTACCAGACAAGTTGTAAAGACATGCAAATGTAGAAGATACATATTTKTCTATTCAAACTGTACTAACAGTGTCCTTTTCCTCTAGTAGCCTGTGACATACAAAATATAATTCAGTTTTCTGAATGTATCCTGTCCCTTTGCCTACCAAATACATTGTATCATGAAATCTGGGTTTTAAACAGCTTTTTTCCCGCTTTCTATCCTCTTTCGAATGATATAGTGAAATTCTGAAAAGACTACACCATTTTTTAATTAAATGTTCATGATCCAAAAGGAAAAGAGGTTTCTTAAAACAATGGGAACATTTCCTATGATCAAAAGCTGATCTTTGAACAGTAGCATTTAAATGACCTTTACGGTTTCCTAAATAAATTACCATAGAAACCTCTGACATTTGCAAACTAAATAGCACAAGCAGAGTTTCATCAATAATAAGCCCTGTTATTATATACATTATTGCAGTAGACAAATCCAATTGACGCATGCTGCAGCAAATCACTGTCAGTTTACTGTCAAAATAACAAGGGCTAAATGAATTTACAGGAACAATGGCAGAGATCCAGCAGTGGCCTTCACAGCTACAGCACTGCTGGAGAAGAAACATTCAGAAAACCATTCCTCCCTCTCCACKTGATGTTTGAGAGAAAATATTTCTGTCTTGCACCAATTAAGAGTCTTGTTTGTTTTTTTTTCCTTCTGTTGTAATCAGCTGAAAGCARCCTAGAAAAGCAATCTGAAATAACACATCTTTCAAGTCTCACATTCTGATTTTCTCTGTGGGGAAAAATTTAGTTAATCAGTGCTGTAGAATGGAGACAACTGATATGGAAGWGATGCAGCAAGATGGAACTTGTCTTTTCTGCTTCAGCATGCCAGGGACAGACCTGCATCAGCATCTGTGCTCATCATTCACATGCACACAAACAYATTTATTTGTCAACACTGCATGTTATTGGAAAGCAAAGCTCGTATTTGCTATAAATTTTCTAGTGCACACCAACAAAAACTGGCATTTTGTGTGAATGAGGAGTGCTTGAGATAATAATTATAAAAAAAAATGGAAATAACAAAGGCCATAAGGCAGAATAAGTGTTTTGAGTGCTTTAAAATATATAAGGCAGAACCACTAACTGCCTCAGCCACGAGAAAGATCTGCTCTCATGAAGCATCAAAAAGCTGTTTCTGTGGCTGACAGAAGCCAAGAAAGGAGTGAACTGGTCCTGGCTCACAGGTGCTGAGATTGTCTCTAATCAAATCCAGTGCCTGTGGCTGCAGGATCAACATTTCCCATGGGAGGTTTGTGTGCCTTGCAAAGTCATGCTGATCCAACACGTGCAACAACTGGGGACACGACTCAGATCTGCAAAGGGATGTCAGGRTTTGTACCAACACACCAACCAGTCAGTGGTCATGCCTGCTGAGCTGCCACAGTGGCACAGAGATCTRCAGAAAGTACAGCAGACTGGGCAATGACAGGGGTACTTCCAACTTGTAAAGGAAAACGGTATTTGCCTTGATGGGAACATACAGCTGAACTGCACAATGTTTTTGGATATCTTTTTAACTCAGCGTGGCACAAAGCTTTCAAAATCAGATTTTAACCAATGAAATCACAGAAATCACAGAAATCACAGAATGGGTCAGGTTGAAAGGGGCCACAATGGATCATCTGGTCCAACCTCCCTGCACCAGCAGGGTCATCCTAGACACAGGATTGGGTCCAGATGGTTCTTGAGAATCTCCAGTGAAAGACACTCCCCAGCCTCTCCTCCTTTCAGAGGTAATCTGTTCCCATGCTCTATCACCTGAACAGAAAAGTTCCTCCTCATACTCAGGTAGAATTTTCTGTGTATCAGTTTCTTCCCATTGCCTCTYGTCCTATTGCCCCTCCAACCCCATGGGTCTTTGCCCATATTCTCATTTCCCTGGTCCTCAGGTTCCAGGGCCCCGATACTACTGTATGAGGACACCTGGGAAGGTGAGGTATATTGGGAGGGAATTCTCCTGCCAGCCCAAGCAGAAACCTGCTTCTACTCCCCTCCATCTTCAAGGTCCCTTCCTTCTGGCTGTGGTGATAGGACAGGGGATGCATGGCTTTTCATGAAGTTGCTATGCTAGAGAGCAGACACTTCTCTTTCCTGTGTGAAAAGTATTTATCCAGACTGTAGCCATTCCCATGAGGAGTCCAGAACTTTACTTCCACCTTGGCTGCATCCTAAACAAACTCTTATGTTATAAAACMTCTCCAGTCCTTTCCCTCTGTTTTACTGCCCGACCAACTGATACACTGGCAGTGACTAACCTGCCCATATCTTTTCAGACCATGACAGCCATATCTTGCTTGTTTTCATTTGATAATATAAGGAAGCAAAAATAAAAGGATACTGAGTTGCATGAATGGATGGATGGTGGCAGACTGAATGTAAGTAGGAAAAGTAGTAAAGTCTCTAGAATCATGATCCTGCATGCTGTGAAGACTTTGGACATATTGTAAAGATCAGAGAAAGTAAAGAACAAGAAGAAAAGACTCAGTCATCAGGAAGGGGCTAAGGAATTCAAGTAATTCAAGTATTTAATACTCTTTTCCTTCTAATTTTGATATCTTCAGTAATGGTTCCAAGGGGATTAATGCCATGACACATTTCTGTTTAGTTTGCYTCCTCAGTGGGTGGCATTAAACTTCAACAGAAATCACAGCTGTTATTAACTGGAAAGACTTATCTTATTATGTTATTTCCTTCAGTGGAGCCACACGACTCTAAAAATGTGGAATTTGATTCAGACAAGTTGATAATATTTCCTTATACATCTACTTCAGAGAGCACTTTAGATTTTTGAATAAGAGACYTCTGTAGTCCACAAATTCCTTTCCAAAGTCATACATATTCATACATTTCCCTGCTTCCACAAGCCATGCTGAAAGCTCAGAAAAAGTACATTAAAATACAGCAAGTAAGATTAATATTTCCGTATTTGTAGTATTTTTTACATTTTATAGGACCTCAGATATAAAGTAAGTTTCTATACCTTATGAAGGTCACAGAAACACATAAYAGTGACTAAAAGAAGTTAATGACAGCAAAGAGCAGACTGATAGGGCATAGTATCAAAGACTTGAGCTACTCACGCTGTCCCCACTGGCCACTGCTGGGATTCAGGTAGTTGGGGTAAAGGCCCTCTGGTTTATCCAGTCGATTTAGAACTTTTCGAATATTCATCACCTATTGGAAGGTACAAAAACACTAAGCACTGATCCATTTCTCCCACAAAATACAAGAGTGCAAATATACCTAAAAATACCCCTCCCTGCTGATCTTATTCGATACATACACCTAAACACCTCTGTGCAAYCATATCATGTTGGAAAAGCTGGTATYATCATGCAAACACRTTCCTGAAAACCTCAGGAGTTTCTGTGCCAACTGTCAGCAATGAAACAACACAACGGGAGCAAGCTCCAAAGCTCAGGACCCACCAGGCAGAGCATCTCCCTTCTGCCCAGGGTACTGAAACTCACTGGTTCTCTGCATTAACTAAGCTCAACTATGTCAGCATTATACCACCTTTACACCTAAATCAGAAATGCTATAAAATATTAAGCTTGTCACCTAGCTCAGATGTGGAAGTGAACTGTAAAGGAGTTTTTTTCCTGGAAAGGAGAGCGTGGCTGGAAGTGACTGAGCTTTCTACAAGCAGCTTGGCCAGCAGCAGGGAGCCAGGCAGCCCTGAGCGCTCTGCCGGCACTGCTAAGGAGCTCACTACAAATGAGATGCCCCGGGAAACAATTACAGTCCAGATGCTCTGCAGCTGGAGCCACATGAAATGAGTTACACTGAATTTTAGGATTCACAGAAAAAAACAAATGTAACAGCTTGGGAGAATGAGGATCCCGAGCACTGCAGGCCAGAAATCGTAACAAAAAGGTACTGACAGCTTCATTATAAAGCCCTGAGTGCCTAGAGACCCAGTGAAGTAGCTGCTGAAAAAGAAGATAAATTTACTTATACCAAGCTGCAGAAGGATTTCTGTTGTGGTACAAAGACTGCCTCCTGCATCTTGACACTACTCGTTGCCCAAATGCAGGCTGCAACAACTCCTAGACCTCAATTAATGAGTTCTTCTGTGAATACTTTGATGCAAAGCTTACTTCAGTGTTTCTCCTTCTTTATCAAGTGTACCAGCCGTGGAATGGTTTGCCTCGGAGGGCTTTGGAATCGCAATCTCTCAAGGGTTTTAAGAACAGCTTACATAAACAGATTCCCAGCATCTTGCAGCGAGAGCACAATGCCACTCTGCAGGAGAACCATAGGCTAGGATTTTTAAGGTACACACTTTCATTGTCTCTCAGTAGAACAGATKTTATGCATTAAATTACCATAAGTGTCAAAAGATAATCGACTTACATTGTCAATTTGTTTCTGGCTATTCCTCAGTGCTGCCACTCCCTCCCTATCTACTCCCCCCGCCCAGTTCAAWTTTTTTTAAGAGAAATTGTCCTTAAATTTACCCCTAAATGCATGAAAATCGCTAGGAGTTTGCTTCACAAAATTTATTCCAATGCTGACAACTGCAACTGACAATGCTGACAACTGCAGTAAAKCCACTTGGTCCTTAACCAATAATAATTTTAGATTTGGCTATTGCTTTTAGACCTACTGCTAAACACTTGGAGTCTCATTATTAGTTAGATTATTAAATTGATAATATCAGTTTTAGCTAACATGGGCTGGCTGCAGTAAGAATGTAAAATTAAAACAAGTTTTAATTAGCAAGTAAAAAGATAAATGATAAAGAACAGGACTTGCTTGGTATTAGTATATCAAAAAACAACACAAAATTGTTCAGGTGGGAACTGAGGAAAGGAGGAGCTCTTTCTATGGCTCATGTAAGTAAAAGGTATCCAGAAGACAATGTTTCCAAAATTTTGGAAGAATTAGTACGCACGTTTTGTCTAAGGATAGGATTTTGTTTTTCCTTTCCCTAAAGAGAGTTCAAAGCATGTTTCTTATAGGTCAGTGCAAGGAAGGGCTTTATGACCTCGCTGACAGCAGTGATGTTATACAGCATTTTGAAGAATAAACTTTTTGAAATTACCATGGCGCTTTGCCTTCTGTAGTCATCAATTATTATCTCGAATGTCAGGTTTTGTTTACACCCCATTAAGTAAAGACCTGAAGAAAGCTCTRCAGTCTGATTGTTTAATGTGATACTAATTTAGAACATAAACAGAAATKAAATGTTTTATGGGGCCATATATAAGAAGATACATCAGAATAATTTTGGGAAATATTTTTGACTTTTTAATACAAAAACATGCCAAGACGATTAGGGAAAATGTGACAAATGCTTACAACTGAGGAAAATCAAAATCTCTTCCCACTCATATTAGTCYTAAATATGTGATTTATCTTTTACAACATCATTTGGACTGAGCAGTCTAACCTTTTCAGCAAAGACAGGGTTTCCAGACAGGTGGCTCAAATGTACAAACTCCAGATGCAAAGTCCCAAATTCTGCCAAAATGCTGCTTCCTCCAGACGCCCATGGCCAATTTCGACCGATTCCACTAAGATGGGGGAAGAGAAAGACAGAAAATAATGATGAGTATCTTACAAGGCAATGTTAACGAAATATAATGGGCAGTAGCTATACYGCTACCATGAGAAGATAATTAATCTAAAATATACTTAATATATATGGATATATGAGAAAGATTSTCATATGTCACTGGTTTTCCCCTGTACTTAACACAATAAACCTCTCCAATTCTATGTCTACAGTGCAGTTGTTTATTGACTTAAAATAATGTACTTATACAGAATAGGCTTTAAGTTAGAAGTACTGAAATGCAGCACATCCTTTGTAACAAGTGARAATTTAATAGGGCAGGATAAGTATCTATTGTCTGTCTGGGCACTCTTACCAAGATGAGTAATTTCAGTTTTAATTAAGACCTAAGGATACTTCACAGCAAAATGAATCTCAGGATTTGTGTTGAGAACAAAGAAAAGCACATTTATTGCTAAATCCCCACTAGAAACTATGCTGGTTGAGACTCAGGATGGCAGGTCTACTGAAGTTTCATTACAAGAAAGGTGCTTTTGTTTTTCTCCTTGAAACTTCCAGCAGCAATATTCAGAAAAAAACCCCTGAAATTAAAGAAAAGTCAGCCAGTGTTCCAGAGCATCTAGGTGGATAATGGCATATTAGACTGGCATATTATTAGTAKCAATGTTACATATAAATACACTTATTAGATACTGGAATGTCTTCCTYATTTCCAAGTTGTAAACAGCATTAAACACAAACATCCAAATATAAATAAAGTTTTAATTTTACTTTTACACAAAAGCAGCCACTACAGACATCAATTAGCAGTTGCACAACCACGAAAACACGGTATTCTTCCTGAGTTAAAATGTGAATTAAAAAGCCCAAAACCAGCAAAAAATCCAGTAAACCATGATGGAATATACGTTATACTAAATATATTTTAAAATATAATTAATAATCAGATATATTAAAATATTTTCTTCAAAAGATCATCTATAACTGAAGTTTAACCAATACATGGAAATTAAGACTCCATTAAATCAATTTCCCCACTAGCTATATTAACATGTTATTTTGAGGTTTCTGCCAGGCACACAAAACAAATCCAAGTCATTAAACTTTAAAAACAGAAAAGTCTACAGAGACCACAAAGGAAAGAGATCTTATGAGGCTCCCCTGGTTTACCATAAAGATGCAAGAGGCTGGGACACACGGAAGTCCTCTGACGTAAATAATTGCCCAAAAATTGTTACCAATCTTCATAGCTGCAGACCAAAATCAATGCCACAATGAAATCAGGGTACTGCAAAGATGCACACTATCCAAATTGGATATAGTATTTGTGAGACTGAATCAGAAGACAAGTTTAATGGGGTCTAAATATCTCATTTTAAGAACTACCTTCCAAAGATTAAAATACTTTTTACATTGTKAAGAGAAAACCCCACCTGATTTACAAGCTGTCTGCACTTCAATCTACTGTGGAAGGGAATTTTTTGAGAGGTAACATAAAAGCATCAGGTATGACAGAAAATAGAATCAAAGTGAGTACTGCAGACAACATGTCTRGCAACCTCTTCTCTGCAGTCTGAAGAACTTACAGTTATAGACTGATTATTCACCCAAGAGTAGACCCCATCTCTGGTACACACCGTCTCAAGTTCTAACTCTTGACTTCTGGATGAAAATGTTTTAGCTTGTTTTCAAATCACCCAGACTAAAAGAGCTGACATAAAGTTCACAGGAAGAAAAAAAAATCGGAATTAAAAAAAGTTACCATGTCGTGGTGCAAATGGAAAAAGCACACTTGCTTTTTCCTATCAAGTTTCTCAATCAATCTCAAAGTGAAAACATCGAGCTGTTCCTGCAGCAAGGCATCAACCAAAATTGACAGAAAACATAATAGAGTCCCTATTTGCACTCCGCCCCGGTGTCTGCTGATATCAATACAACCTGCCACAACACTTTGAKGTAGTGTGTTTTGTTAACCAGGAAAATTTCCAAACACAGCTGTCAAAAGGTTTTCTGCATGGAGCAACGTGTTTTGCCATAAGTGGAAGATTCTTCTTGTTTAAGATGGTTTGAAAATTATAAACTTGCATTCTTTGCTCTTATTATATAAAAGGGTAGAAATAAACATCTATGTTACATCTTATGCGCTATTTAATGTAGCTTTCCTTTTTTTCAGTTGGGTCAGTTTTCAGTTGGGCTTTAACTTTTAACAGTATCTTGTCTTAAAAAAAAAAAAGAAAATGAAGAGGGTGGTCTTTTACAAGCCATCTCCCCTTCCCCCAAACCTAAATATTGAATGCTTTTAAACAGAACAGGAGTTAAAAAAGAGAACAAAGGAAATGGAAAAAGACATCTGTGTCAAGGATTATAAACAATGAACACATTTATAAATTACTTGAGGTGCCCTAGAAAATAACATGCAATAAATAAATGTAATAGCTCAGTAWATCTTAGTAACTAGGCATAGTAAAATACTGATTTCTGCTCATGCATGAGACAACATAACCAGTRCTCCCAACTCAGACATTTTTCAAGCTCTTCATCATTACCATTATCAGGGTGAACAAAAACTTCTAGTAAAAAAAGTTTTTTAAAAAAATCAATGCTATTTACTCTTCAGCCATRAAATCAGTGCTGGGTTTTTCATTACTCCTCAGTTACGAAGTTATTCACTGTATTCCTGAAGTCTTGAGATGCAAAACTGAGTCTCTGAAGAAAGGTTTTATTTCTTCTCCCAAGCTTTAGTAAACTTATTGCAAGTTCCTACTTTTTTTCTTTTTCTGGGGGTGCCCATTGCTCAAGTCAAGAAACCACAGCAGCAATCTGAACCCAAAAATGATCAGGACATTCAGGGAATTCTCCAGAGATGGCTTATGACTGTGCCAAACTTATGTCCAGATCACTCCTCCCAATCGAAGCAAAACCTGTAAAGCATGGAAAAACTTTTGCATCTTATTTTTACTCAGTTTAATGTCACAAATATCTTGTAAGCTGACAAATGCACTTTTCAGAAAGATGGAAGACAGCAAAGGGGACCAGGTACGATACTCTTTATATTAGCTGCTTTCCTTTATCTTGCTTTCTTCTTGTAATTTACTTTGCCACTGAATTGTTCAATTTTACCATGTTGATATTCACTACAACCTGCACTGTGTCAGTCTTGTACTGATATCAGAGTCAAAAACAAAACTACTGCACACTTCAGGAAGGAAAGAGGGAAGGAGAAACACTACTCAAACTTCTTTGAAGATCCAGAAGAGTACTAAAATATTATCAGTTCACAGGGCACTATTTTAAACTCTCGCAAATCACTGTGCCTAAAATCATACATTTTACACTCTATAAAACACACAAAATATTATTTCTAACATATTGTAACATATCCATAGAACTTTAAGACTTATTATAACTAGTATTGTGCAAGTAAGAGAAATTTGAAGTGAAGATCTGTACCGGAGAAATGGGATCAGACAGGTTTATAATATTTCTCACTTATTTTATACATTTTGTTTCCAAACACTGATKGCCACAGAATCTGAAAATCAGTGTTTGTAATTCTGCTGCCATTCATTCTTGGGAAACACGAGCCTGATTGACCTGGGTTGCTGKTAACTCAGCTCAGTATTTTTCCAGCAGGCCACAGTTGGTCCATCTGTACATAAGAACAGAAAGGATGAGATCACCAAATCTTCTAAAATGTACAGAGTGTACTAAGAGAGGGAACCACAGAGGAAATATAAATATTCAAAGGTTGCTTTTTTTAAAATGACTGAAATTCAGAGACACGACAATATTTAAAAGAGTTTAAAAAAATTATGCTCCATCCCCAATATATATAAAGCAGCAKCTAATTTTCTGCTGAAAGGAAAAGCAAATCCTTAGGGAAACTGCACAAATATTTCAAAGGGTCAAAACACTTATCAAAATTCTTGTCATCAGTGAGCAGAACTGTTTGTCTCTGCAGACAACTTGTTTATTATACCCCAACCTTTCCTGGAGGATGCCAGGACAACTCTGCAAGCTGGAGACAGAGAAAGAAGTCAGATTTTCAATATTTAATACAAAATGCACCAGCACAACGGACTAGTCAGTATCTTCCTGCAGAGTTGGCCAGTAAAAAGGTGAGAGGCCAGAATAAAAGAGATCCAGCAGCAACAAAGTGAAGTGTCCAAGCACCGCTGTTGAGAAAAATTTAAGGATTAAATATGAAAATAACTTCCAATGGCCTCTTTGGATTTTACTAATGATGATTTATTTTTTCTGTAAGAAATTACCCTATGGTTGTGGGTGAAAATGCAAAATGCTACAATAGAGAAATGAGCAGATGGCTCTGTGGAGGGTCCTTTGAAATGCACCAGAGCTGAGACTCAAACTGGAGCATGCAGGTTGTGCCTGGTACTACCAGTGATTCTGGGGGCCAAGGAGGATTTGCCTGGCAAACACAGCTTGTGAGTGGATTTGGTTGGGTTTAATCCTGTTTTCGGAGCAACCTGCAGGAGCAGAGAGCCACCCAACCCAGCCTGCAGAACCTGGCTCACCTCACTCCACACCACCAGCTGCTCCTCACACAACTCCTCACACACCAGCTGACACCCAGCACAAGAGGGACCTTCCCAAATGGAAGCCAAGAAACAYGCAGAGGGTGTTGCAAAGGACATACAAACTTTTCTGCAGCTTTCTTTATCCTCCTTCCCCTGCCTAGCACRCCACATTGCACTTCATGTTTCTCCTTAAGTCTCAACCCCCAAGCACACATGCCATGGAAACAGAACTAATGTAGAATTATTAGAGCTTTTTTTGTAAAAGAAAACCACAAATCATCCACCACTTTGTTCCGCAAAGGAAGCCTGTGGTCCCCAGACAATTCTGAAAGCATAATACGATGGCTTTTCCATGTTTTAGCCTTAAAATGATGAGCACATGTCATTTGGCTGCACAGCTGAAAGCCCACGCTGTAATTGAGCCAGAGGATGCTGTGAGCCAGCTCAGGTCTGACCACGA